AATTTAATAAAAGCATAAATATATATAGTAATTATTTCTTCAATAGTATAGAATCCTTATTTAGATATTAGCTCCTTAATATATATATAYTTAATATTTAGCGCAATATAGTTTTTAATGTATGTATAACCTTTTGTACGCGTTCGTATTTTGAACGAGCTTTATAAGCTCTTGGATCGGACGTACGTGATTAAATAAACTATTGATTAAGTGAGTGGTGCAGGCATTATTACCCTGAGCTCCAAAGGATATTTATTCTCGTACCGATGTTTGATGTTTTGACGCGCTCTCTTGAAATAGCTTTATAAAGTCATTATGAGCTTATGATTAAAGGTCTTCGATGCCCGTTTGCAACAGGCGATTCTCTTTCGCCTGTACCGACACATTTGTTATCAGTTCGCTCAAGGCCCTTTCATAATCTACGAATCACTTGTCTCTTTAGACTGACTTTCTACTAATAATGACTTTGCTCTGATTATCACCTGTACGCATTTGATTGGACATTTGTTTTGCTGACAAACGCTCGGGTCTTAATTTTAATCTGCAAAGCAAAGTGTCGGATTTAGTGGGTCACAACAAGGTTACCATGACACCCCCTCCCCCTCTTGCTTGGAACTAGGTTTTTAGTATAGACATTATATAAATATTGTTAACTGCTAAAAGGGGGCATCTTCTATTTTCTCCCCCCTCCCCCTCAAAATTCTAGATCCGCCCTTGTAAAATATTCTAATCTAAATTTATTATGACACAGAACTGAAGTGGTTGCAAGTAATATGACGCAAKCGTAAACGCTTTGTTATCAATTATCGAATTTAAAGTAATTAGAAACAATTATACCGACAGATCGTTGTTTTTCAACGATGCATTATCTACTTTAACAGTTTATKTATTACTTATATACTGCTCAATACACTTGTTAGTTTATGTATTAGTCAATCCACGGTCAGAGATCAGGTTTATCAGCTCACTTCATTCATTTGGAATGTTTTACTAGCGATTCAAAAGGTACAGAGCATCACGTCTGCCTCAAAGTAAAAGTACTTTATGTCAAATCCACTCTGCTTGGGGGCTGAATAAATGAGTATTTTGGTGCTAATTTTTTTCACTTCCAATGAAATTAAATTGCGCTAATTGAACCTAAATCACTTTCCAGCAATAATGGCATTTTATATAATATATTTTCATAACCCCTACGTAGCTCTTTCAAGGCACCTGCCCTTGTGAGGAGCCAAACATTGGCTGATATAAATAACCAAGAACAAGCGCTGTTGTTCTCWATGAAAATTTACTACTAACCTTACATAATTTTCTATCTTAAGTATAATGATGTAAACAGATCTTAACTGTTAAAGTAGCCAATCATAGACCAGCTATTACATAAGAACTTGCCTTCATAAGCACGACTCCAACCGTTTTTGCTTCATTCATTGTTGTTCCAGGAGTTTGTCAGTGGAGAATTTCATCTATGTATTAACAAGGCGTCGACACATCAAAGTATATTCCTGATCTTAGGGTATTTATTTGGTTTCTGAATCGCCTGAATCGTCCGTTTTTGCTTCATTCATTGTTGTTCCAGGAGTTTGTCAGTGGAGAATTTCATCTATGCAGTAACAAGGCGTCGACACATCAAAGTATATTCCTGATCTTAGGGTATTCATTTGGTTTCTGAATCGCCTGGTCAAGCAGTGTAAGTGAAAAAGAAAAGCAATTGAACAAGAAGAAAACTCACGAAAAGACTGACTGAATTCTGAGCTTAAACAGAAAACGTTTAGCTCTAAGATCTACTTTTTCTTTAAAAGAAAACTCAAGAAAGCTCGAGCTTTAGATTAAGAATCAAATCCGTTCATATGTGAGATATATGTAATCAAGACAAATATGCAGACTCATAGGTGTGACAGCATACACCCGCCTGAGTACATCGCGATAACGACAGCAATAGTATCAGGTATCTTTTGCTTGTTCACAATTCCAGGAAATTTCCTGGTCTGCCTTGCAGTGTTTAAGGACCCTTTTAAGGATTTAAGATCTCCTTTTACATTATTCATAGCTCACCTCGCCTTTGCTGACTTGATGGTTGGGCTGGTAACAGAACCTTTATCGGTGTACTTTCATATAAAAGAGAGCCTTAGGTTGCCAATAGAACATTCTTGGTTGACCCATATGTCTTACTTCATGTCCTGTACTGCTTCTGTGCTAAGTATTGGTGCCCTAACAATTGACAGATACATTGCTATAACATCACCGCTAACCTACAGAGCAAAGAAAGGATCAAAAAGAACTAGAATTGTATCTTTTGTCGTGTTATTTGTCTCGTTGACAATTCCTTTTGTTTATTTTAAAGTTGGCTACATCGTGTACGCATTTGTTTTTGCAAACACAGCAATCATCTTCACATTTGTAACACTGTTAATCGTACAAGTCAAAATTTGGCAGACCTCCAAATCCCGCATCACCAGCGTCGACCACCAAGGAACGAGTGCTTCTCATCAAAAAATTGTCTTACGAGAAAAAAGAATAACTAAGAGTTTAGTTTTTGTTTTGATGGCGTTTGCAGCTTCTTACTTTCCTTCGTGTGTCATCATTTACTCCATGAACTTTTGCACTTCTTGCAGCTGTCTTGTTATTCATTGGCTAAGAGATTTGCAGTTTCTTTTCGTCCTCCTCAATTCCTTTGTCAACCCTTTGATATACGCCTGGCGTCTTCCAGGCTTTCGTCGAGCTCTTGTCGCCATTGTGAAACGTCGTTAAAAGAGTTACAAAATTTCAAGGGTGTAAAACAGTGAACGACACTTGTAATAAAGTGTTAACACTTCAGCGAGAGGAAGCTGTTATATTGATTCAATACTAAAGACACCTCCAAACTTTGAACTTAATTGACTTTTGATTCCCGTATATCTGAAGCCTTTTWAAAATCAGCAATCAATAGGGAAACCCCAGTCTTCTACGCGGCCGCTATAAGTGTCGTCACGCAACGCTCACTCCCCTAAGTACGATGATTGAGCGTTGCGTGACGACACTAATAGGCTTGAGACAAAGGACACCAACGCCCAGCCCTTCAAACACAAGGAAACAGTTTCATCAGAAAAGACTTTGTATCATTTATCAAACAAACTTAATTCAACAGAAGACATTGTATTTAGATCATAAATGAATGTAAGATTTACTGTCACGTTAAATTGCTTAAAAAATTATTAACTGTTTTTCCCCAGTGTCAATTAGATTGGCATCAAACAGGTTTGTCCACTTCAAAACAGGTTACTTTTACAACTAAACGTTAAAGATTGTACTCTCAGTAAACCACTGAAGATAAAATATACTAAATGCATTTATAAATTTATCTAAATTCAATTTAATTAAATTATTCAAATTTATTCACAAATTTATCTAGAATTACTTAGTATAATGGAATTACTATGATGGAATGATTTTGTACATCTTATAATAATAATAATAATAACTTTATTTCTTAAAAAACGCATTTCTAAATCTCAATGCTTTTTACAATAAAAAGCGAAAATTATGAAAGAAGAAAAAGAAAATTAAAACTAGAGTACAAACACTATAAGTGTGTAACATAAATACCACTAAATACTGCTTAATTATGCTGTAATCCTATTGTTTTCTATTGTTTAATTAGCGTTATTTACCACTAAATAGTGCAAAGTGTTGCACACTTTTAGTGTTTGTACTCTAATGAAATATTTGTAATCCAATATAAAYACATAACTDCAAAAGTAGATGGAAATAGCGCAAAACATGAATTTACGTAAGAAGCATAATGTCATCTTGAGTAAAACTATATCATTGATAAAGAAGTTTAAATAAATATGTTTTGAGCTTTGTTTTAAATATGTTGATGTTATCAGATTTATCGTGTCAAAATGAAGATCATCTATTTATCTATTCACTAATAAAAGTTCTGTTCAGTATTGCAGTCTTGCTTTGACTCAACCTCGGTTAACTACGTTTAGATTGAAACTGCCTTTAGCAAAAAAAAACTTCTGAAAAAATTTTCCTATTGCATTGGACTTCATGATCTTGCGAACAGCTTGCCGAAAATTTCTCATTCTCCACGGATGCAAGAATTGGTTGGCTGCAGAATTCACTAGAGGGAGCAGAAAATACCCATCTCGTAACCAGTTGATGACGCAACACGAGCAATCCTTGCAAAAATTTATGACATAAGCCGTGACAAAAGACGGTGCTAGGCAACAAATGAAACACATCAGAAGTAGCAAAAAAGATTTTGTTAGTTTTTGAGATATTTTGAGGGCACGAATTCTTGCAGCATCGTTTTGGATTTTTTCCCATTCAAGGACTTTTCCCTGGAGGTCTTCCCTGACACGATAAAAGGAAACCGCCACGATTATCAGACTTACCAGAACTGCTGTATTTACGTAAATGAAAGCAAAACGAAAAAAGTCAAAAGTAAAGTAAAGCCATGGMAAGGAAACAGAGCAAACCCAAATGGCAATAGATAGTTTTAAGCTTTTAGACGAGTTTGACGAGCATCGTATRCTAGAGGTCACTGCCTTACATCTCTCATGAGCAAGCGCCGCTAAACTCAGCATAGAAACCATCAGTGAACAAAAGTATGTCACGTGAACAACCCTAGTTCGTTTAGACGCTTGACTACTTGCTTMCAGAATATGATAAACAGCGAACATAGGTTCAGTTATTAAGCCCAGAAGCAAATCCGAAAGGACCAAGTTGATAACGAGACAGTTGAAATTCGTTCTTAGATTGTTGTAAGGGTCCTTGATGACAGCTATCAGGATTAGAGCGTTTCCTGGCACTGTTACCATAGACAGTACAATACTCGAGCATGCGGTTGTCCATGGTAGCGATGTTGGGAGAGAARCATTTTCACACATGCTTGTTTGAAATGCCATAAGAAGGCCAYTCACTATAGAAATCTCTTTATGCGCTGATACCGATATGAAGACTTAAGTCAAATGAAATTCGAATGGCTTTGGTACTTTGATAATCCTCTAAGCTTAAATTATATCTAAATTACAATATGGCGAAATTCACTGACTTTAGTGCGAGCTGTTTTCGAGGGCTCCAGCTTTCTTTTATAAACGTTTTTCAAAGATATTGAGTAAATATTTGAGATAAGTACTTTCTGGGAAGCTTTTCCACAATATTGCTTCTGTATATATAGAGATTTTCTCAATCGTATTCAATATTCTTGTTCACATCGACATATAGWCAGTTTTTTGATTATGCCTCTATAACGTAATTGATATCCCGGCTTCAAGTGAAATGTCATTTCCTGAAGACGAAAAAGGTTGAAAATGCTTCCTTACAGAGGTTTAGGAAACCAGATGATTCCCATCTGCTTCTTATTTTTCCTCAAGCTTAGTTTAGTGTATTTTCTAGATTGCTTTGTCATAAACTGCTCACTGTTGTCAGCTTGAAGGAAGYACTTCTAATGATTATTTCCAATTCCTTTTTTCAATAGCGATCGCTCCAATGTTTTCTCAATCTTGTACAGTCCAACACTCCCCGATTTCTTTAAGATCTTTTTCTGTATTCTTATCCACAGTAGAATTGATAAGCACTTTGAATCAAGTGTAAGACTCCAAGCAGCAAGACAAATGATTTCAAGATAAAAATATCTGCCGATTCTCGCTTCAACAAGGATAAGTTAAGTACGAAACTCCCACACAAGCGCCTCTAAAATCAATATTTCATAAACTCATATTTGTATAAGCTCAAGTTAAGAATCAGTTTTGCAATGCAAATTCAAAAGCTCATTCTAGGCACCCAAAACAAAAATTTTAATATCACATATTTTGTTTTAAAGTATTTGAAGAAGACGACAGATCGATTAGAGATTTTCTTAGCTTTTCGTTGACAATGCACAAAAAATTGACCGTTTGTTTACGGAATAAAATCGAGTTGATTGACATTCTAGACGGTTATTGAAAACAATCTTCCCTAWATAACTTATATCATAGTATCTAATAAGATCTTATTTTGATCTGGAATTTTGTTTCAATTCAATTCCGGTCGATCCGTTCCGACAGGTTTTGCTTTTCAACACTAGGTTTGCGGGGTAAATGTCATAGGTTGTTTTTATCCCCACGCGCCCTATAGTAAAGCATAATTCAATCTACGTAAAGGAATAAATTGTATTGTTATAGGCGGTAGYACCTCACGTACTGTGATTAAGAAACTTATGGCTAGAGCTGTTTTCGTATTACTGTGAAAAGCTCACGGCACGAACACGATCACGGCACTGCCAGACCAATAACATTGCGCGAGAAAAAAATCAGCCAATTAAAATGATAGRAAACGTCACGATCACGGCACGCTCACTAGCAGCACTGAGCTTTTCACAGTCATRCGAAATCTGATCAATAAATTCACAACACAATCATTTATCGTTTCTTATTGATGGTTTTCAACCGTTCCCAAGAGAATTAAATAACAAAAGACATGGCGGCCATGTTGGAGAATATAACAAAAGAATTCATTGACAATTCCTCCAACATGGCCACCGTCAATACATCCTTTATATTTTCAGTCTTTATTTTTTTCTTGTTCTATTCCATCTGTTTATTCCTGTTTTTCTGTGTACTTTGTAGTCGCCTTAATAAAGATTATCCGTGATAGACCTAAACGTAGGTATAAATAGAGGATATATTACATGGGAGCGCGGAGATACGAATTTCATCGCTGGCCCTTTTTTTTATACGAATTTTTTCGCTGCGCTCACTCGTGAGATATCAATTGAAAACTCGAAGGTAAAAATCGTATCTCCAAGCGGCCATGTAATGTTCTGTTTATTATATAGATATCGATGAAACTTAAATAAAACAAAAGCTCAAAAATTCTTTATTAAAATAGCAAGCCGATTCAACAGCGATATCTTCACGTGTGAAAGATATGATATCTTCCACTGGTGAAAGATATCAAGTTTTCGACACTAGAGGAAACCTGGTATTTCATCGATATCTATATAATAAATATTTATAAGTTGGCGATAACAAATTATAACTAAAATCCTTCATTCCTGTTTTTTTCCTTTTATTGTTTATTCATTAATCCTACCTTTTTTATCATTCTTTTTATTATTCTTGGACTTAATAACAAAGCAGCTTCATGACTTCACTATACTAAGTATTTTATGTTTGTTGCTTAGATATACATTTGTAAAACCATATCGCATTTGCGCTCATTTAAATGGAGCTTGCAAATATYAAAAGCATTCATTTTCTTGCCTGCCACAGTAAAAGTAATTCTAAACGTAAGATAATCCAACTGATCTCTTAGAACAGATTTATGTACCAACTGTCGACTCACGACGTGATAGCTGGCAGATGAGAAACTACCCTGATTCAACATTTACATTACTATATTCAAAAAAGCACTGAAACAATGYCAGTTTGTTTTATGTGACTTGAATTAAATGAGACAGTGTATATAAGTTTAAAGTCAAAAAGTTCCTGTTTTCATGATACTTGGTTTATCCCTTGAAAGATTTTGTCTTCGAGTATTTACCTCTTTTTTTTGTTGTTGTTGTTTTTTGTTGTTTAGTATTTACCTCTTATCGTAAACTTAACTATGTTTAAATCTACTTCTTGACGTAGAGGAAGCACCTTGTCCGTGTCCATGGCTGGCTCTACCTCTTGACGCAGAGGAAGCACCTTGTCCGTCTCCATGGCTGGCTCTACCTCTTGACGAAGAGGATGTACTTTGTCTATCTCCATGKCTGGCTCTACCTCTTGACGTAGAGGCTGGACCTTGTCCGTGTCCACAGCTGCCTCTACCTCTTGACGTAGAGGATGAACCTTGTCCGTCTTCATGGCTGCCTCTACCTCTTGACGTAGAGAAAGCACCTTGTCCGTCTCCATGGCTGCCTCTACCTCTTGACGTAGAGAAAGCACCTTGTCCGTCTCCATGGCTGGCTCTACCTCTTGACGTAGAGGATGTACCTCGTCCGTCTCCATGGCTGGCTCTACCTCTTGACGTAGAGGATGTACCTCGTCCGTCTCCATGGCTGGCTCTACCTCTTGACGTAGAGGATGTACCTCGTCCGTCTCCATGGCTGGCTCTACCTCTTAGAGTTGTGCGTGTGCCTCCTCCTCTGGAGACTGACTAATTGCTTTGTCCGCCCCCTTGACTGTTTCTGGGAGAACTCCGTCCTGGGCTTAATTCCCCCCCGTGCCTTCTATTACAGCCAGTAGTTTGGTATTCAGAGCTATCTTCCACCAAAGAATTTTGGCTGAGCTTAGGAGCATGTTCGATCCACTTGTTCCAATCTGGTGAGTTCTTTAGAGTCCTTTCATTACCCACGACGATAAGCCCTCTTTTYGCACGAGTCAGCAAAACATTTAACCTGTTGGTACTTTCAAGGAAGCCTAGAGTTCCACGTTCATTGGCCCTTACAGTACTTACTATGATAACTTCTTTTTCGCGRCCTTGGAATCCATCAACCGTGCGTACTTCCACTTTAGGTTTTACTTCGGTACTTAACAGTCTAGCTTGACCTTGATATAGGGTCAAAATTCCAATGTCTGTGACGTCGAGTCTTAACTCCTGTTTGTTTTCTGGGACATTCATAAGTGCATCAAGAACCGATTGAACAATACGCACTTCTTCGCGATTAGAAAATGAAGTTCCACTTCTTYCTTCTTTTGAATCAACATTTATAAAGCACAATGGCTTCGTAGGATCAGGCCATTTAAAAACGGCTGGCAAATGGCAAGAGGGTACAGGCCCACATTTTAAGTTTCCATCATAGAAGGCTTGGGAAGGAAATTTCATGAGCTCTGGATGCATTCGGTGCTGAGTATCTAGGAATTTGAAAGGAATTACGCCATAAAGCCTGTGAAATAGCGTATTGGACAATGCGGAGACATCAAGAGAATCCACCAAGGTCTGAAAGGTTTGTTGATCACGTTGTCCGACTGTAACTGGTCCAAGTTGTTTCGGATCGCCTATCATCACCAGTTGGTTCACCCCATGAGCAAGGCTACATAGCAATGTAGTTTCTTTGGTTTGAGTTGCTTCGTCCACTAACACAAACTCAAACGTTTGAGAGTCCAAAAGAGGGTCACCGGCTCCAGCACAAGTCGTAAGAAATACACTAGCGTTGGTTAGGATTTGCTCCACCAACTTTGGCTTTCTGTGATTTATTCCTTTCTCGTCACGATAAGAAGCTTTCTTTGCTTCCTTCTCTTCCAGTTGCTTCAGCTGTCCATCTAGAGTTATGTCAAATACCTCACGATCGACGCCTTCTTCTGTTCCAAGTCGTACRATATCTAGTGGCAAGTCTTTCCGTAATTTTTTCGCAATGTTGTCGACTGCTACGTTAGTCTCCGCAACAACTAAGATTTTCTTGCATTTCTTCAGTTTTTCAGCTTGTTTGACGATTTCACAGGCCAGTGTTGTCTTGCCGGTACCTGGGGGTCCTTGAATCAAGGTTAACCTCTGCTCTAAAGCAGCTTTTACTGCTTCTTTCTGCTTTTCGTTTAGGTTACTTGAAATCTCTAAATTGGAAGGCGTTATTTCTCTATCGGGGATTTCCATATGTGCTTCATCACTGAAAAGTGGACAATCTYTAGGGTGTCCTGCGGGATTCCCTAGTACATCCAAGAGCCAAACATCTTCCACCATTGTCATTCTCTTGATAGCGTTCATCACCCGGGTGAAGGTAGTGATATTTGCGATGAGGTCTATTTTCCATAACCGCGAATCTTCAGACTTTAAATCATCGGAAATGATAACAGGGACTTGTCCATACAGCTTGGCAGTGATTGCTAATGGAGCAAGTCTAATAGTTTGGACTTGTGCAAAGCAACAGCACGACTCGTGGCTTCTCGTTTTCTTGAAATCTGCCTGTCTTGATACTGCAACAAATTGTCCTTGTGTAATTCTTGGACGATGGCTAAGAGCTGCTGCACGATGGAACGTCACAAAGTCATTATCTTCTCTTGAAGTAGCCTTGAGTTTCAGATTACAGATGCTGAAGTCAGCTTTCTCAAGCTTCATTCTTTCCTTAACTGTTTCGATTTCTTGCAAAAAATCAAGGAAATGAAGGTTGCCGATATGAAGAAGATACTTGATTCTGTTTCTTGCTTCTAAAGTCTCTTCCTTTGATAACTGGCAGGACGAAACAGTTCCCACAACCTTTAAGATGCTTTGCTTGGCGATGTCTCCCTTGATATGCCACCAGTATTCCCACTTGCTATAGATATTGATAAAACAAGACAAGTCTATTGCGCATTTGTCGATATCAAGGATAAGACGTTCARCTGCAATATCTTCAAGATGAATTCTGGATAGGTATGCAGCAACTTTGAATATCTGTAGTGGTTGGTGGAAGTCGCAGGCCAGCAGTATCTTCGTTATTGYCTCTGTTACTTGTTCTGGAAGGTGCTGCGGTGAGCTAGAGGCGACAACATTTTCCAGAAGAGAAACGACCAGCTCAGACACACACGAGGGAATTTCGGCTGTTCTTTTATGCCAGTCATCAACAATCCTTTGAAACAGCAGCGGTTTTACTTCTGTAATCGTCCTTTTCAATGATGCTTTCAGATTCTCCTCTGTCTCGCATGATTCAAAGGCTTTTAAACCCTCTTCAGATAACATAAAACTCAGGTCTCTTTCGGTTTCATAGTCTTCTTCTCCCTCCAGATCTTCAGTTTCAGCAACAGGTTCAAGATCATTGGCTTCAATAGTATCAAAGTAAGGAACAATCAGACTATTGTTATCCACAAATACTTCGATAGCAACAAGTGGTATCTTGTTTACGAGAGGATGACGGCGAGGTCCGTTTAGAATTTGTCTCTTGAACCTTATGAGATCTACACTTATAGAGTTCAGCACCTCATCACCTGGCTGCAGTTTTCCTTTTCTTTGGTCAGTTGCTCTCAGCCACACAAATGTTTGCCGTTTATCTTGATGACGATATAACTGCAATCTGTCTTCTGTCAAGTCCATGGTGTAATCAGGTCCAAGGACATACTTTTCACGGTATTGAAATCGCTTCGAATAGAGGTATCCAGAAAYGGTACCTGGAATGACTTCTTGTTCTTCACGTTGCTCTTGTTTTGTAAGGAATTGCAGAACTATTGTGACTTCATCTGGTAGGCTTATTACGAGGATACACTTGTCATGATGTGTAAGGGCTTTGAGCAAATACATCCAATTGAAATTCTCGTGGTCTTCTCTGAAGTAGAACTTCCATTTGTTGGGATTGGAGTTCATTGCAAAGACGCTCAAGTCATCTTTTGACAGTAACATGGATTTTGTCAACGCATTTGTGACGATGTCAGCAGGAATACCAAAACCAATGGCTTCACGTTTTTCTTGATTTGAAAACAAGGCGTAGTTGAGATGATCTGAATATTTATTAAGAAAGATCTCAACTTTTTCCTCCGTTTCTGTGGTAATATTACTGATGTAACTCCAAACAAATTGAAATTTTTCAAACTCACTAATGTTTGACATCTCTTGAGTGACAATGGACAGCACAAACTCTTCAGCGACAAATGAAGCAGGAAATCTATCTTTCTCACTTAGGACACGCTCTGTCATTCTCCTGTTAAAGCTGTCAGCCTCATCATCTAAAACCTGCCAGATGAACTTCTTTAGTTCCTTGGAAGGATAATTTTCCTTGTTTGGCGTCATCAAATCCTTACTATTAAATGTCTCTCCAGATTTAGGGGAATCTATCACTCTCGAAAACAGCATTCCCAGACTTCTGCATTCGTCAGAACGTACGCCTTTGATGTTAGCCCACTCTCGGTAGTTCCCGTCTACTTGTGCAGTCAGTTTATGCGTCTCGTTTTGACAAGCAAAATATTTGACCATTTTTTCGAAGGAGATTCCTTGAGGTTTCACTTGAGCACTTTCATAGTCATATGGTGTCTTGGTTACTCTAGGAATAAGATCCGAATCCCATGAGATAAAAAACATATCACCATCAAGATCCGAGCCGGCTATTTCATCAGGATGGGGTCGCTTTCCCCGTACAGGAAACACAATACAATCAACTAAGTGATTGAGCTCTACATTATCGACGGCCGTGAGTACTCTCACATCGCCCAGAAGATAGCAAGGATTTTTTGAAACCACCACTTGTCCCTTGATTGTTTTAGGGCTTCCAATGTTTCCTTCAGTGATACGAAGGAAGCACTGTCCATATTCAAGTACGCCACTTGGATCACATACACCATATATGTTCCGGGATTTTGGTATCAAAATGCGTAGTTTGTGAGATACTGAAACAAGTTTTGACTGAGTATGACGGATGCCCTTCAGAACTTCCTCATCGACTTGCCCATAGCGCTCACGAGTTTTTATTAGTCGTTGTGCCAGTTCAAACTTGTTTTGCCATTGAAGAATCGTAATTGCCTTTTCTGGGTCTTCTGTCATTTTTTCTACCATATCAAAATGATCCTTTTGCTTTTTTCTAAAAACCTCGTCAGGAACTTCAAGACCAGACAGCAACATTATGTATTGTCTGTTAAGGTGTCCAAATGTGTGGGGTCTGGAGAATCCACACACTCCAATACGATCATGGGCTGAAGTTTCAAATTTCTTCATTGATGGCCGTACCTTGATGGATTCATTTGGTAGAGTCGGTTCAAGGGCTAGAACTCCTTTGTAACCTTGGTAACGTATTTGATACACTGAAGGGAGATAATTTCCCTCTTCAGACAGGCGTGATGCTTCATTAAATAACTGTGTTGCAAGTCCTTGACCAATACTTCCACAGCCGTCAGTAAAACACTTCTTGTTGTCAGTGGTTGTTATATCATCTTCTGTAATTATCTCATCACTCCCTACCTTGACGTTCGTCAAACGTACTGCCGAGAACAAAAGAGCAATTCTAGCCATTCTTTTTGCAACAGATCTCTCATCAAAGGTACCATTCTCTGCAATCAGTTGATTGGCTTTTTCCTTCGAGCCTTTTAGCATATAGCATTTTCTTTTTTTCAGTCCGCTAGAGCTGCAACCAAGGAATGAATACTTTTCTCCATTAACAAGGATTCCACCAAGAAGCATCTTTTGYACCACATTAGATTTGACAGAAACGTGAAAAGCAATGATAACGAGATCAYCTGCACCATGCTTGGCAATAAACCTATTGCATTCGTCCTGTTCAAAGGTTTTCCATTCTTGTTCACTCTTATGCTCTGTAATCGTAATTGTTGGGATGCTGATGCATCTCACTTTGTTGGGTTTTGGCAGGTAGAAAGAAAGATTCATGCTRCATTCAGTCTTAGATGGCCTGTTCTTGCTGTAATTAGAAAGACACGATGTTTGTAAGGGTAACTTGCCCTGCAAAGCTTCCAATAACACTCTGATCCCATCAACAAGGTCGTTATAACAAAGGTTCAGGTACGGAATGTGATGCTGTTGGAAATATTTACTATACAGGCTTTCAGCATTGATTCTGGTTTCATCTTCTGTGACACCAGGAAGAGGAGATACCAGCACCATAAGACACTTTTTATATCTGTGTATAGCTTCTTCTATTTTTCTGCGRTTATTATCCATGAGTCTATTTGCAGCATCTTGGTTTATCTTTATATGAGCAAGAACTAGGATGTCTAAAACACTACGTTCAGATATAACAACATCACCAAGGTCACGATGGTTCCTTTCCAAAAGGCACTGTTTTTCTATATGTACTTGTAAGGCATTATAGAAGGAACCAAGATCTTCTAATGATCCTCTTGAATCAACATTTAGCACTCCACCATTTCTTGGGGCGTCTTGGATGAGGTGTACATTTTTAAGTTTTCTTGTTTTCAACAGTTCTTTTATCAAAGTTGCTTTTGCTGAACCTTCTATACCACACAGATAAATGGCCACCATGACTTAATTGCCTGGAAACAATGAGATTCCATACATTTGTCACACTGAACACACAAAATTTGTGTGGACTTGGAAATTTGAGAGTAGGTTTAGAAACAACCCCTGGACCACTTAGCCCTAGAGCCTCACCCCACCCCATACCACGCCCCACCAACACACATGGCTTGACCCTAGCTTGCTTTTAAAGAAATGAAATGTTGTTTAAATACAGGATTGACATGATTAGTAAATTACTAATACTGTCTTTCAAAATAAAAATTAGCTATATAAACTGATATACAAATTTGGAAAGAATTTTTTTGATAAATACATGATTTACAGTGCATCTTTTTGGCATAACGGATCAAAACCATATCTACGTACTAAATGTATTTTCATGCTTTTTTCAATCCATTACACATACAGCAGTTTATTTCTTAAAAAGCATTTAGTTATTATAGTAGTAAGTTGGATGGTGTATCGTAGTTGAGTTCTGTTTAGTTATAATTCAGCTTTCACATTTTGTTGTTTAGCTTATCAACTCAACTCAACTCAACTCAACTCAACTCAACTCAACTCAACTCAACTCAACTCAATACAACGTTTGCATTGTGGCGTCATTTGACTCCCACTACCATATGATTATCCTTCACCAATTTTCTTTGTTATTCAAATTGCATGCAACAAATCTGAAGTTTAGTCGCGCTCTACTCTTGCAACATTGTATGCAACAAATTTCATTGTGTGAACAGGGCTGCAACATTGCCTGCAATATTTTGAAATTTCCAGCCAATCAGCTTGCACTAAATTTATAACCGCTGAATAAATTTCTGAGCATATCAGRCTGACACAAGCGATGTTGAGTGATTTTGTTGCAACCTGTCACCCTGATTCAAGCGTGCAATGTTGCACTGTCTATCCTTGCCTTTAGTCTATTCCACAACAAACAAAAACAAAAAATGGCATCTAACTATACCTTTATTAACATAAAATTTTATTGTAGATTTGTTTCATTCATGCATTCATGCGATGTGAGATTAAAGTGTGATAAAATATGGCGTTACCTCCAGTCCTGCTTGAATGCATCATTCCTGATAGAAGTGAGAGAACATTGATAATATATTAATTACTTTTGTTTTCAAGATAACAGAACTAAAGTCATATCTTCCTTTGGGTCTGGACATCTGTGATGCATGGTTTGGTGATTCAATTATTGATTTTCTAYTTTTGTAAGTCAAATTATTATAATTCACAGTTGCTTATCGACACCCCAACCCTCCCCCCATGAACAACAGGAACCCTCCCTCCCCTTCATGCATAACAGGTACCCTCCAACTCTCTTCCCCCCATGCATAACAGGTACCCTCCAACTCCCTTCCCCCCATGCATAACAGGTACCCTCCAACTCTCTTCCCCCATGCATAACAGGTACCCTCCAACTTCCCCT